GGGTTTTTTTTTTCAGGCCAATCGCGTAGCACAGTGAAGCAAAACACAAGTGAAAACCACCCTTGTCAACTGAGCGTTAAGGTTTAATTTAAATGGGTCGTGCTATTTCAATATCAAGTCATTACCTGCAAGCTCTGGTTTTACATGTACAGCCGAAAAAAAAAGGCAAAACAAAACAAAAGAAAAGTTGAAAAGTCACTGAAGAATTGCTACTTGTAAATAGTACAACTGAAACTAATTTAACAAAGAACCATAACTTGATTTATTTTAACTCTGACAGTTACAGCGCATGCTGTGATTGGTCAATTTAGTGAGCCGTATTCTACTGTACGGCCTGCTAAAATTTAAAGCTGTTTTTGTTGCCAAAATGTCTTATGGTTTAATGCCAGATTTTCTTGACTGGCAAGATGCTCAAGAGCTAGAGCAAGTTGAACCTGGGCAAGCTTAATGAGCAAGGACTTCAGCTGTACCTACGACCCATAGGACTTTGAGCTTGGAATTTTTTTCTGATTGCAACTGTTAGCTTCGTTTATGTTGACACTGACTGCTGATACCGGTACACAACTTTTGCAAAAGCTACTTTATGGAAGCTCACCTGTGAAGTGTAGGAGAAGATATCGCCTATGATCTTCATAGATGGCTCAGGTGGGAAGATGTAGGTGTTGCGCACCATGAATTCCTTCAGAATGTCATTCTGAATGGTTCCTGATAGCTGCTCTTGTTTTACTCCCTGCAAGTGGAGTCAAAACTGATCAATGTTACATTTCTCCTTATTTGTTCAAAAACACTGACTTACATGCAGGTGATGAGAAGCAAGAAAATAATCAACTTTATTATATGGCAAGGTAGTCTTGAGGTAAATTCCAGCATTCTGATTGGTTCTTTCCTGGTTGGGATTGTGCCATACATACCATTTCGGAAAAAGTCGTGTATTTTCTGTGTTCGAGTGTCATATACCAAACTACTTACTAACCTAGCTAATGATGCTTGAGCCGTACTGGGGAATATTGGCCCTAGGTCATTTTTGTATGGACCCAGGCCTGCAAGGTTTGTACTGCCATGACCTTAGGCTAATGTTCCCCAGTACTTATGACCCTTGCACTCAGTTAGTAAGAGGTTAATATAATTATATTAAAGAGATGTAATTCACCAGTATCTCTTTACAAACCAGGTAGGAATATTGATGGCCCAGTGGTGAGGGAACTTGCCTTCCATCATTGTGGCCCGGGTTCAATTCAGACCCAGTGCCATATGTGGGTTAAGTTTGTTGTTGGTTCTTGCCTTGCTCGGAGGGTTTTTCTTTGGGTACTCTGGTTGTACCCATGAACTTTACCTGTTCCTCTGCTGCCACAATATACATTGCTAAGA